TAAGAGATGTGCAGGATTTTTAGTTTTCCGCCAAATTCTCTCCGCAGCCCGAAGTTTTGAGCGATGCTCACGGAGAGCATCCGAGAGCCAGGGTGCAGGAGGACTGGCACGGGCTGGCCTGGATGCAAGAGGACATAATCGGTTCAGACATGATGCTAGTGTTGAGCAGAGTGTATTAGTGGCACTGTTCGAATCAAGTGCAGTGAGTTTGCGAGATGGAGGAAGAGAGTCTGAAACAATGGTGGATAGTCTATTGGGTGAGAGAGATCGTAGGTTTCTGCGAAAGGTAACCAGTGTTGGAGTGTGTGGCGGCTCAGGAGTAATGTGGATGTTGAGAGACAGAAGGAAATGATCAGATATTTGTAGTGGAGTTACTATTGTTTGATCAGTGAAGCAGTGTCGTGTGTAAATAAGGTCTAGCTGATTACCTGATTTGTGGGTAGCAGAAGTAGGTGCTCTTTTTAGGTCAAAAGAGGCAAGCAAAGTCTGAAAGTCTGCAGCTTGCGGTTTGTCAACGTAAACGTTGAAGTCACCTAGCACCAATAAGGGAGTGGCCAAATTAGAAAAAGATGAGAGAAGAACATCCAGTTCATCTAGGAAGTGACCTAATTTACCTGGTGGGCGGTAGATGACAACCACATTTATGTAGAAGGGGTGGATAATGGTGACTGCATGGAATTCAAAGGAGCTGATTGTTGGCAGGGACGGTATCAGAGTAAATTTCCATTCTTTGGAAATTAGTAGTCCAGTCCCACCCCCTCTCCCTGTCTGACGAGGAGTGTGGGAAAAAGAGAAATTAGCAGAAAGAGTAGCATGTGTAGCAGTGTCCTCCGGCCTCAACCAGGTCTCAGTTAGAGCCATGAGATTATAGTCAGAATATGTAGCTATGGAGGTAATAAAATCAGCCTTGTTAACAGCTGATTGACAGTTCCAGAGGCCCACGGAGAGAGAGAGTTGTGAAATAGTAGATACATGTATTGAACAAAGGTTGTGAGGATTACGCCTGCAGCGTACCTCCCGTGTTTTGCGAGTGTTAGTAACAACAGGAATTAGAAAACACATAATAAAAGTGCACTGACAACAAAAAATAAGTGTAAAGTAAAACAATACAGTAAAGTACTCAAGTGCTTTGTCGGTGTCTTTGCTCGGTGGAGTCGCGCAGGTAGAGTCGATGGTCTTTACCCTCTTCGGTCTTCACACGAGGCGGTCTTCACACGAGGCTGCCGCGACCGCTGCCGCGGTGAACTAGTTGTTTATATAACCCCAAAGCACTAGCTGATTGAATTCAGCTGGACACGCCTCGAGAGTCAAAACAAGGGCCGAAACTGAGGCGGACGACGCGAAACCGCGTCTGCGTTCGCTACACAAGCTCTTATAGTAACCAAGGAAACAGTGGCTAAACAACTTCTAGTATTATACACAACTGAAAGCAAGTTAAAATGTCCTACAACTTTACACAAACAGCTGGAAACAAGTCCTCAAACCATACACAACAACTGAAACAAATCTTAAATGTACTTACAGGCTGCTGGTCTAGATGCTGCTAAAGTGCTTCTCCTGCCGACTAATGCTAGCGTGCTCACTATATAGTGGTTACCTGGCGTTTGGACACGCCTCCCGAGTCAAAACAAGGGCCGAAACTGAGGCGGACGACGCGAAACCGCGTCTGCGTTCGCTACACAAGCTCTTATGGTAACCAAGGAAACAGTGGCTAAACAACTTCTAGTATTATACACAACTGAAAGCAAGTTTAAATGTCCTACAACTTTACACAAACAGCTGGAAACAAGTCCTCAAACCATACACAACAACTGAAACAAATCTTAAATGTACTTACAGGCTGCTGGTCTAGATGCTGCTAAAGGGCTTCTCCAGCACTTTTGGCCAAGTCCTTTTATTAATCTGGGGGCGCCACAGCAGAATGAACTTTTGTTGCTCACCTGGCTTTTAAGGAGAATTTACAATGCCTCCTCAACTTTTTTTTTTTTAACTTTTCGACCTGATTGTGAACTTGATCAGATGACACATCAAACAGACACTGTGCTCCTGCCAAATTTACACTAGTTTTTCCTTCATTTCTTGGGTCCAAATAAACTGAAAATGAGCACTTTTAACTTCTCCCTCAGCCTCCCGCTGGCCTGCATGTACCCGTACTAGTAAATGCTGCTCTCTCATGGCTGTATGTGATTACGAATGTTATGTTATCAGAACACATTTCACAGCTCCAGATATTTAGTGAGGCAAATATCTCACGGGTGTCCTCATTGGCGATTCTCTCATATTGTGTCCTTGGTAGTTCACACTGTGTGATTGTCACTCACGTGAATGAGCACCGATTTGTCGTCAATTTCTCAAAACCTGTCAGCGACAAAATCAGGGCTACAATCATGCAGCCCGAACTTGGCATTAGGGGTGTTGTTAGGTGAACGCATTTAAATGCATTGGATGCTGCTCAGATTGCACTGGCCCAGGTCTGCATCCAAACCTCTCTCCCAAAAGCACACACTTTGATTCTGCTGTATACATAGTGTCAAAATAGAGTAGCTATTGGCAGTATCAGTTGGAGCCTTAATTAGACAGAAAACGAAAAGGACAAATCTCACGCCTGCTCTCTAAAATAAAATCTGACAAGTGTCTGTTACGAATCAAAAATAGGGTGTGGCTCCTTTAAGAAAATTGTTATTTTATGTATCGTATGTGTGTGTGTGTGTCAGTAGAGCCGAATATCTGCGGTTAAAATGCGGTTATTTTTATTTTTCTCTGAAGCTCGATTTAAGTTATTTTTCTGTAATATACAGTGACACTGTTGAAAGAAGAATAAAGAACAAGATGTGCAATGTGACCCGTGGAAGCTTTGATAGTTTTTTCTGCTGCACGAGTTAGGAAAGCTACCCTATGTTTTTTTTTTTTTTTTTTTTACTTAACTCAACATGTTACATGTCTTTCACATATATCCAGAATAAGCATGTGTAAGTAATATAAAACATTCACATATTTCTTGTGAGTTCATTATCTGGTAGAACGCAGGGACACTGCATGCGCTGCTGAAGATTGTGGCCATTTACAGCAGTTAAAATAGATAGATAAATAATTTGTACTTAAAATTGTTAGCAGTGCCAAACAGCATTTCCCGTTGTTTATATTTTTGCTACAACATAACGTTAACGCTAGACACGCATGTATGAATGTTTTATGCAGCGGATCCCTTTCCAGCTGCAACCCAGCACTGTGAAACATCCAATACACCCCCATTCACACACACACACTACAGACCTTTTAGCTTACCCAATTCAACTACACCACATGTCTTTGGCCTTGTGGAGGAAACCGGAGCACCTATAGGAAACCCATGCGAACACGGGGAGAGAATGCAAATTCCACACAGAAATGCCAACTGACCCAGCCGAGGCTCAAAGCAGCGACCATTGCGCCACCATAACACCCCTCATAAATAGATCAATTTTAACAAATTAAAAATATTTACAGTTTGTGGCTCACAATCCACACTTCTCTCTTTATGTCATGTCCTTTGGAAGCCCAAATACAGAAACAGAAGAAGCTCTGTGGAAATAGCAGCATTTGGATGGCATTTTAGCTTTCTCTGCTGTAACATTAAAGAGCCTCTGGTCACATCCCTTCACTACGCTGGGTGTGTGGACTTGGTATGCATGTGGCCGGAAACCCTTGTGATCTCACTAGCCCGGATTTATTTTTTTTTGTAGTCCCCAAAGTTTGTTCACTGTAGGCTTTGCTAAACTAACTCCGTAAAAGCCAGTTTCACCCTTTGCAACATACTTTGAATGCTTACAATCAGAGATGTTGCTTATGTTCACATAGCTACATTAAACATCAACAGTTTAAAACATGATATCGTAGTGGACCACCCGTTTAACACTTTATTGTTGTTGTTGTTGAGTTAAAATCCCAATAGAAAAAAAAAGTTATTTATATATATATATATATATATATATATATATATACATATATATACTTTAAAAACTAGTATGTTGTAAAAGGGGTGAAAACTAATAAACACCCTTGGCACTTATCAATTTAGCATACTGTATTTTTTTTATGGCATTCAAATAAATAAATATTAGTGATTTAAATAAGCTTAACTGCACAAATGAGCTCTTTCAATTCTACATTGAAGCTCATATATTATCTGCTATATGCTTAAGTGAGTCTTTTGATGGCCTCTTGCATCCTATGTTTAATGGTCTATTTTTGTACAAGAATTTGGCAAGATTTCAGGATTTAGCACTGCAGAGTTTTTCCTCCGTTTTGATCATCATACTCCCTTGCACATTACATCAGTGATTTAGTTTATTTATTTATTTATTTTCCTTTCGGAGAATTAATTCCAGAACTTCAAACTTAATCCTCCTTTTCCAGACGGAGGATCAAAGTCACCATTGCTGAAAAAAATGGTGTTTCCTTACGCTTCCTCATCTGAGTTGAAAAGATAACCATTTTCTGCAACACTCTATGAGTTCTCATGTTGTGTAATCATTTATTTATTAGATTTTTTTTTTATCTGTACTGAAAAAGGGAATTCCACAATCCATTGTGTATTTTTAGCTGCTGCAGTAAATAAATCAATGTTGCTGAGCCGCTACCAGAGAACAAATTACTAAGGGTTATCCACATCAATCCTCTTTGGACATCCTCAAACTATATGCCACCCAATCCTTTGTAATCATGTGATCAGAAGATGAAACAGGATTGGTTAGGACAGAACAAAAGTAGAATTTTTAAACTTACAAGTGTGTTTTTAGGAGAGCAGTATTTGTGGTGATTATTGTAATGAGAGAGTCAAAGTTCTGTGAAATTATCTTCTTTAAAAGGCATTATTTTTTGTTTTTGACATTTCCGCATATAATGTGTAATATACTTGAGCATGCATTTGGGTATGTTTGCAGATAAATTACAGTAACGAGTAATTATTTACTCACCAACCCCAATGAGATTTCTCATTGTCATTTTTTTCCACATTTCAGCTCCACTCTGACATGGATAAAGGAGATAGTATGGTGAAATACACACTCTCAGGTGAAGGAGTTGGCTCTATTTTCACCATCGAGCCAAGTACCGGAGACATCCATGCCTTAAGGAGTCTGGACAGAGAAGAGAAGCCTTATTACACACTGAGAGCGCAGGCTGTGGACATGCTGACGGGCAGACCATTAGAGCCTGAGTCGGAGTTTATTATCAAAGTCCAGGACATCAATGACAATGAGCCAAGATTTCTGGAGGGCCCATATTCGGCCAGCGTCCCAGAGATGTCACCCGTTGGTGAGTTCACTTCTCATTATGTCCCAGATGGTTGGCCGTTTGATACCAAGGAAAAATCCTGGCCTCAAAGCATGTTGCTTTAAAGTAAGATCAGAGCCATCTTGATGTGATCATCTGAAATGTTCTCCTTTATTGTGTACACAACTGGGCCAAAGTTTGCGATGAGATCAGAATTTTTTTTTTTTTCAAATTTTATTTATTTATTTTTTTAAGAAGCCTATTCTGCTCACCAAGGCAGCATTTATTTGATTTAAATAAAATAAAAACAGTAACAACCTTAAATAATATATCATATAAATATACATATATATATATATATATATATATATATATATATATATATATATATATATATATATATATATATATATATATATATCACTTTTAACAATCCTTTAATTTCATTGTTGTGGTTAAAAACTGTTGGAATACTTTATATTTTTTATTTATTTATTATTATTATTATTTTATTATTAAAATGCATTACCTTTTGTTCATTATTTCATACTAAGATTCAACATTCATTCATTAATTTTCTTTTTCGGCTTAGTCCCTTTATTAATCCACGGTCACAACAGGGGAATGAACCACCAACTTATCCAGTATATGTTTTATGCAGTAGATGCCCTTCCAGCTGCCACCCATCACTGGGAAACATCCATACTCATTCACACACATACACTACAGACAATTTAGCTTACCCAATTAATCTGTACCACATGTTTTTGGACTTGTGGGAGAAACGGGAGCACCCGGAGGAAACCCACACAAACACAGGGAGAACATGCTAACTCCACACAAAAACGCCAACTGACCCAGCCCAGGCTCGAACCAGCAACCTTCTTGCTGTCAGGCAATTGTGTTACCCACTGTGCCACCGTTCTGCCCACAATTCAACATTCATAATTTAAAAAATCATTATAAATGATTGACTACAATAATAATTTGATCGTTATAGAAAAGCAAATCAGCCAATTATACTGATTTCTGAAGGATCACACGACAATGAAGTTAAATGACGCTTTAGGTCATTATTTATATAGAGCATTTCATTCATTCATTCATTCATTCATTCATTCATTCATTCATTCATTCATTCATTCATTCTTTCATTCATTCATTCATTCATTCATTTTCTCTAGAGTTTTGTCTGTGATTGGTTTTTGCCATATCTTAAAGGTATAGGAAGCATTTCATTCAGTTTGGGGATGTCTTTTTTCTGTTTTCTGTCATTAGATAGGATGTGGAGGGAAAAAAATCTGCGTACTGTAATAATATCAATGTTGTTGAGCCTTTAACAAGATAGATAGATGGATGGATGGATGGATGTTAAAAGCAGATATGAATTATGTAAATATTTAAATAGACACTATAGATTGTTTGTAGATAGATAGATAGAAACAAATAGAAACAAACAAATAAACAAACAAACAAACAAGCAAATAAATAAATACATAAATAAATAAATCTGCACAATTTTTTTCTCGAAAATGGCCAAAATGTTGGTTTTGTCCAAAATTTTTACTGTAAATAAATGGATTAAAAATAATTTGTATAGTCTCACTGGATATGCTAGATTTGTGTTTTAGAAATTTTTTCTTTTAATGCATAAAAATGTTGTGTATGCATTTCTGTGCACGCATTTACATGTTTTTTTTTTTTTTTTTTTTCTGTTGCACCATTAAAGTGTGGGGTTCCTCAGGGCTCGATTTTAGATTCTGCTTTGTATCCCCATTCTTTGATTCCATTAGGACATTTTTTTTATAAGAGTTACATACATTTGTGTCTGTATATTGATGACTCTCAATTTCATTTCTCTATAAAATCTTTAGGGAGTAATCATCTCTTGAGTCTTTGTATATCTGTTGTGAGAGTGTTGGTTGGCAAACAACTTTCTCCAATCAAATGAGGACAAATTTATCATTGATGCTGTATGGATTCTGACGACAATGCAGTATGATTGCTTCCTATGTAAGAAAAAATGTTTAGATCTGTAGCCAAATTGAAGCCTATTCTCTCCTTTCAGTGATTTGAAAAAGGTTGTTTATGCCTTTGCGTTTTCTCTTTGGATTATTGCAATGCTTTTTATCTGGGTGTGAGCCAGATGTTCCTCTTTTGCCTGCAGCTGAATCTGAACTCAACTGCTAGGCTTTTAACTGGTGCAAAAAAAAAAAAAAGACCATATTACTCTTATTATTGATTTCATCATTGATTACCGATTCAGTACAGAATCCAGTTTAAAGTGCTGTTATATGTTTTCAAATCTCACCATTATTTGACACTGAAGTATGTTTCTGACTCAATTAGTCTACATCAACCTTTGAGATCTTTTCGGTTCAAGAATAAACTGTCTTATGGGTCTTCGATCATGTTTGAAATGTAGAGGAGTTAGAGCTTTTTCTAAGACAGCTCTTAGACTTTGGAATATACTTTTGTTTATATCCTGCAGCAAAAAATAAATAAATAAATAAAATAAAACAAAATAAAAAAAAATCTCCCCTAGAGTCATTTCAGAGGATGTTAAAAATGCATTTATTATCTTTATCTTTTAATAATGTGTTTGATATTCTAATCTAATAATATAATCTTTTGTGCATATATGAATATTGTTCATTCATTCATTTTCTTGTCGGCTTAGTCCCTTTATTAATCCAGGGTCACCACAGCAGAATGAACCACCAACTTATCTAGCAAGTTTTTACACAGCGGATGCCCTTCCAGCCATAAACCATCTCTGGGAAACATCCACACACTCATACACAACAGACAATTTAGCTTACCCAATTCACCTGTCTTTGGACTGTGGGGGAAACCAGAGCACCCAGAGGAAACCACGCGAAGGCAGGGAGAACATGCAAACTCCACACAGAAACACCAACTGAGCCGAGGTTCGAACCAGCAACCCAGCGACCTTCTAGCTGTGAGGCGACAGCACTACCCACTGCGCCACTGCCTCACCGTGAATATTGTTTATTTTTATTATTATTGTTTATTAGCAGAGTGCTAATTCTGTAAATATGCTGCTTAACAGATGTGGATTAAATGTTGATTTAAAGGTGCCTCATACAAAGAAAACAGCTTTATAAACTCAATCAAATAAATGTGGCCTTGGTAAGCAAAATAGGCTTCTTTTGAAACATCAAAAAGTCTTACTTGTGCCAAACTTGAGTCGTGACTGGTATTGTACATGAGCAAGGTTGGTGAAGGACATTAGACATTAGTCTGTTGATCCTATAATTAATTGCACTGATTTATCCCTACTTAAAGGTGGTTAGTTGGTCTCCTGGCCTGGTCAAGCTGGTTAAGCTGGTGTGCTTTGATGGTTTTAGAGGGCACAATTCAGCTGGTAAGGATTGGAGACCAGCTGGCCAGACAACAAAATAAACGGTGTAATAATTAATCCTAAATGCATAATCATACAGCAAATGTTGCTGAACACTGCATTTCCCCTTAGGGAAACAGTTCTTCTGAAGATTACATAAACAGCATTTTGAATTGATTACTTGTTGTAACAATTTTAGATTAGCACACTAGTGTGATAGACGAACATCTATACAATTATTTTTTAATAGTGTGCGAAAGAAATTCTAAACAGGTCAGTTTAAAATTAAGCAATCTGTATTACTTAAAATTGCAAAGAAACTGAAGCAGCTATAAATCTTGTCCTCCCTGTTTGAGAATAGGAGATCCAAGCAACTGCTTTTAAATTGCAGTGGGATCGATGTACCGTAGCAACTGATCTTTTCTTCCCTAAATGTGATGTATAGTATTAAGCTGACTGAAAATTGCCAGTACATTTGCCGTTCAATTTACATTACACAGTTCCATTAGACCTACAACAAATTGCAATAACAGGAAAAAAAAATAAAAATAAAATAAAAGGAAAATATAAGATGAAGATAAAATACATTTAAATAAATAAATAAATAAATAAATAAATAAATAAAAATAAAAATAAAAATAAAATAAATAAATAATAATAAAAAACAAACAAATAATAAAATAAATAAAGAAATAATAAAAATAAAGAAACCTGTAAATAAATGTATAAATAAACAAATAATAAAATAAATAATGAAGAAAGAAAGAAAGAAAGAAAAAAAAAAAGAAAGAAAGAAAGAAAGAAAGAAAGAAAGAAAGAAAAAAGAAAGAAATAATAAAAATAAATTAAAACAAATAAATAATAATAAAACATATAAAAACAAACCAATAATAAAAATTTATAAAGAAATAGTAAATAAATATATATACATAAATCTATCTATAAACAAAAAAAATAATAATAAAATAAATAAATAAATAAATAGATAAATAAATAAATAAATAAATAAATAAATAAATAAATAAATAAATAAATAAATAAATAAATAAATAAATAAATAAACAAACAGTGCATTGCATTTTTATGGACTGCATATTCATGGCACAGGACACACAGACTTAGTCACAGATTTAGAGACTTTTTTTTTTTAAACCATTCAGAAAAACCCATGTGAATCAAATTCAAATTCACACATTTATTCTAAATAATATAACTGTAAATAATGTAGTGAAGTACTGGTCAAAATCTACCTTTATGTAGCGTTCTTTGTATACTGCTTTTAATACACACTCTTCTGAAGCAGCTTTACAAAGAATAATGTTTATTGTTCACTGAGAAAGCCACAGGCGACACGTCAAAGAAAATTTTCTGAGATTTTAAAGCGGATGAGGAAGAAACCCTTGGAGGAACCAAGACTCAGCAAGTGGGCCTTTCTCCTCTGGCTGATACATGATTAATCAAATTGAGCCCAGCATAAACCATGAATCTGTTTGACAATGAATGCCTATTTACATTTGCGGTAATTTCCTAAGTACAATTGTGTGTACAATGTTTTGTTATGAGAAGGGCCTCAGGATCATAAATAAGTTCGGTATTCATTATCTTTATTTGCATGAATGTCAGTTCTACTGTCCTTTGATTGCTTATTATGGTGTGTTTGTTTTTCATGTTTGTGATCAGGCACATATGTGACACAAATAACCGCCACTGACGCTGATGACCCTACTTATGGAAACAGTGCACGGATTGTGTACAGCATCCTTCATGGGCAGCCCTACTTCTCTGTTGACCCCAAGACAGGTGAACAATAGTGGATTTTTTTTTGGGGGGGGGGGGGGGGGGGATTATTACATCCGCACATGATCTTTTGAATTCTACAGCACCTCTTTCTAATGCTTTGCTTTCGGCATTTCGTTCACCTCGTTTCATGCGTCATCATCTGATTAAAAAGTAGCTCCTCTGAGAGGGGAACTATTAGGATTGATTAGTCTTTAGAAGAATGTCAAAGGTTCGCCTTTTCATCATAGAGCTCACAAAAGCATTGCACATTGCAGCACAGATTAATGAAGGCCTGTTCAATTCTTCAAATTGCTCCAGGCCTTTTACGTCCATCAGAAGAGCCTCAAATTCTAAGAATCATCTTGCAATCTGTCGCTTTACTATAAAAACCGAACTGTTCAGAGAACCGAAGGCAACCGTTTGCATGACTTTCAATGAGTTCAGTTTGCTTAAAGTGCCCCAATTATGCTTTTTTCCCCAATAATACCTTTCAACAGCATATACTGTAGCTGTTTGTGAATGTAAAAGGTCTGCAACATTATCAGGATCAAAGTGCATGCTCAAAGTTATTTTCTCATAAATGAAATAATCGATTCTGATCTGCCGAAATGAGATTTCAGCCGTTCCTGTTGCACCTCTGTAACTGATCAAAACGTTTATGAATGTCAATGGATCTAGGTGGCCATTGAGTTCATAAACTCAATGTATGTGACTGAATACTCTTTTTAGTGCTTTAATAAGTAAGCAAGAAATAAATATAAAAAATGGAAGCAGATTTATTCTTTTCATTCAGTTTTCATCTTTCACTATAATTGTAACATGTATTTTGCCGCCTTTTTTATGATCCAACCGCAATAACATGTTTTATTGGTAAGTTTACATATAAATTTTAGACATGTTATTGTAAGCCATCCTTACATCCTTCTTCCATGTTTCATCACTGGACATTTGCTTAAACTGATGTGGTAAAATCAATGCCATTGCTCTTAAATGTGTCTAGTTCTTCATGACTGAAAAAGTCTCCGGAGCTGAAATTTATAATGTAATGGGAGTCTGTCTTTGGAGACAATTCAGAGCAAAGTAGACTTCATTTATTCATTTTCCTTCAGCTTAGTCCCATTTTTTAATAAGGGCTTGCCACAGCTTAATTAACCGCCAAAAATTCTGCCATACATTTTATGCAACGGATGCCCTCAAAGCAGCAGACCAGTACTGGGAAATACCCTTTAACTCTAGCAAACAAACACACACTATGGCCAATTTAGCTAATCCAATTCACCCATAGGCTATAGCACAAATCTTTGAACTGTGGGGAAAACCTGAGGTAACCCACAGGAACAAAGGGAGACCATGCAAGCTCCACTCAGACATGCCAACTAGCTGGGTTTCGAACCAGCAATCTTCTTATTTTGAGGCGACAGTGCTGACCACTGACCCACCATGCTGCTTCAAAGTTAACTTGTGGAAAAAAATCAGGAGGCTTTCCTCCCTTAGTGGTTGTAAACATTGGACTGTATTGTTATGCTTATTTTACAATATCAGTTTAAGCCTGTGTCCACTGAAGCCGTGGAAGAATAAAACATTTCCTAAATATTTAGAATAAAGAAATATGAATATAATATTTATTTTAAATATAATTTTTACACCATATCATTAGAATAAATAGCAATCTGTTTACGTTTTAAATAATAATATAAAAAACTGTAGACTATTGTCATTTATTAGGTAAATTACAAACTGGCCAGCACATTCAACTTTCCTCAGAATTTGTGATGCCAAATTTGGCACGGCATGACTTCAGAACGGAAAGTCACGGGTCGGCATGCTAAATTTGATGTCCCAAATTCTGTACTGAGAGCTGACAGAGGATTCCACTTGGTCTTAAAGTCTTTTTTGATGGGTTATTTTCACAATTTATTATAGCATGGCAATCAAACTATAACAAATGACCTCATGTATAGGACAGATTCTGGACCTTTGTTAGTGCGGGGTTGGTATTTTAAACCACCCTAACCCCCTCTGGCTATGAGCCTGTAGATCTACCCAAAACATTTGTCGAAGGCAAGACATGAGCATGACATGTCCAATAGTACATTTTACTACTTCGTTCTGGGTATTCTTTTTGTTGTTGTTGTTGTTGGCTTGTTTTTGTATGTTTGTTTGTATGATACATATAACAGTTTGCATTTGTGCCCAATCACTTTATATGAGGAAGGAACAGTTTATATGAATGTGCAAGTATTTCTTTGAATTCGCAATCCACATTTCACATTGTTGTTTCTGCTTTGCATACAGGTAGCTGTACAGCTATACACACATACTGTACTGTATATGTGTGTATTTAGGAGTATGTTTCAGTTAAGCCCTATGTACTGTACATAGGACCTCATACTCAAAAATTCTCTAACATAAACATCAAAGTGCAAACATAAAGAAAGTAGGGGATTTACTTTGCAGCTTATGTGATTGGGATTTTTTTTCATGTGAAAGAGCATAAGTCATACTAGAATAAAAGTTTTATCTTAGCAGTAAATGCTTCTTCTGGACATAATGTTGACAGCACAAATCTGCTACAGTTTTTTTGTGAGAGGGTCAAAAATAGGAATAAGGCTGACATCACATGTTATAGAAATAACATGCAATTGCTAATAGCATTTTAATAGATCAGAGGTGCTTACTTTTTTAAAAAGACAATAATTTATTTATCTAGAACTTTGATCTTAAAAACATGTTGCATTTACAAACAGTGACATTATCCACATGAAAGGTAATGTTAAAAAAAAAGGCAAAACAATGGCACTTTAAAGGAATAGTATGTAATGTTGGCAAATGGGTGCATATTCACAGCAAACGAAACACATTTTGATGACACTGTGAATGTAGAAACATGTAAGTGCATTATGTACTATGAAACACCTGCAAATCATGTTCATAGATGAGCTAATGCATTCAAAATGTATTTTCATGATATAGCATGAAGCAGAGTAAAGCTGAAATCCATCAATAAACGGCATGCGACCACTGAAGCTATTGCTAAGCTATTAAGCACAACATGGCACGAAAACAGCAGAGCTTTTATTATACCACAGTCCACTACTTCTGCTTCCTCCAGTCATGATCACATGCTGATGAAGCAGCTCTGTTTTATCACTGAATACATTTTAGGGTTCTGTTCTAATTCTGCTCTGCACAGTCCAACAAAATGCACAAGCTATTAAAGTGTCTTTGGAGTTTCCTTCCTTGTGTTCTATAAAACAAAACAGGAAATAAAGGGTGTATGATATAACTAGCATTTTACTATTTCATTATTTATTTCTCTGGATTTAAAATTTCTTCTGAACATTTGGGATAATGTAAGTACATACGTCAACAAAATATATAAGCCTGTTCTAGTGTTTTTTGAAAATGTAAAGTCTGCATGAATCTGGAAGTTCTTAAGACTTTTATTTCAGGATCGGGGATTTCATTTTGTGCATCCTTCTCTCATAGCAAACTAAGGCTGCATGGACACTAATACATTTTAGTTTTAAAATGCATAACTTTAGCTACGGTTACGCCTTCCATCCACACTACTCCAGAGTTTTCAAACCCCAAATACGTAACGTTTTGAAAACGCTGAAGAGGCAGTTTTGGTTTTAAAACGCTGCTGCTTTGTGTCAGTGTGGATGGGGGAAAACGAAGACATCTGAAAACGGAGGCATGGCTGAAGACATTCACCTATCTGATTGGGATTTTTTTCAATTTGAAGTACACAAAGTTTAGTCTTGCATCCTTTCCTTGCATGTTTAATATGGAAAACAAACCCACAAAGACACTTCGGATAAATCTTTAAAGAGAACAGTGTAAGCTACTTTATAACGTCATTTGCATCACACTGGCTAGACCTTAAATGAAAACCTGATATGAGGAACTGTCTTTTTTCATTATGATATTGACAACTTAACAGACACCAAAAATCTTGAGGCGTCGTGTAGCTACATATTTAGTTTATATGACCATCATCTTCACTGAATGCATATTTACCACAAAACGGAGCCTATAACATAATTGCCTTCCTCCATTTTCATTGAAATACGAAAGCTTCTCTTTTGCTGAACTTGTTTTTATTAATTAATTATGGGCATTTTAAAAGTATAACACGTAATAAGTTCATACAATAAAGCAAATAAAGGCTAGCAATCAGTCAATGTGCAGATCAGTGTATGATTACATAAAATAATAAAATCACCTTTTCTTTGCATTGCCTGAGTACAAGTAATAGATTCAAAAGACCAAAGAGTTGAGGTGTGCTCAAAGCACCAACTGCCTGGAGTTCATACCTCCGCATACACTGCAGCACATGCCAGAGTTTGTAGGGCTTAATTTGTACCGGAACAAGGCGGATCCAGATCTGGCACCTCTGGAATCTGATCCGGCACCTCATTTTACCAATCTCTAACCGCTCTCCTCTCATGTCCGCTGTTCAATTTCACTTTCTTTGGCGACTCCCCAACCCTCTTCACTTTCGTCCGCGACAGCCCCCCATTCTTCACTTTCGTCCTTCGTCCCCCAATTCGTCGCCTCTGCCATCCAACGCCCCCCAATATCACCTATACCCCCACCAACCCCAATAAGAGGGGCATGGTGAAGAATATTGTGGCTGAAGCTGTCAAACTGACATCAACAGACTCCAAATACGAAAGCAAATGGTCAGACTTTGATCAAAACACTTTTTTTTGTTCAGTGGATAAATTTGCACAGATGAAGTTGTGCTATCAAAATAAACATTTAAAGTTTAGATTTTACACAGACTCAATATCTGTTCAATAAATTGTTGATTTATGGTAAAATGCATACAGTAAATTTTCGCATGCTGTCTTTGTTTTTCTCTGTGTCTCTGCATCAGGGGTCATAAGAGTTGCCTTACCCAACATGGACAGGGAAGTTAAAGAAACCTACCAGGTGGTCATCCAGGCCAAAGACATGGGCGGTCAACTTGGGGGTTTAGCAGGAACCACCACCATCAATATCACTCTCCGAGACGTCAATGACAACCCGCCACGCTTTTCTAAAAGTATGTTTAAACGTAGATGTTTCCATATGAGCAGGAATAATTATAGAGAGCGCTGAGGCTTACAGCATACAGTCAGCATTTTTGTATCAGCAGCGGTCCGTCCCTGGGGTTTATCTTAATGTGAATTTAATCTGGTTTCATATTTGCTTTGCTCTGTAGAAATTTTAAACATGACTCCATTATTTGAATTGTTTAATTCAGTTAATGGCGAGCACTGATAGAAAACAAGGGCTTTCTTTAAAACACAGACGGAAAGGTAGTGTATGATCCAAGAAGAACCACGTATTTACAATTGGCCATGATTGAGACCTCAGGGGATTTTAACAAACACAAACAAGCAAAGAGAGCTGAATTAGCAGATGTGATTAGCATTCCAGCACTTTTCTCTTGCAGTGATTAGCGGATGATTATTGTAAACTAGCTCTCAGGGGGCTTTGTGAATGTCTGTTCCTGAGGGGAGAGTATGATCACTGATAAAAGTGCTTGTGAATATCGGCAGGTATTTTTCACCTGCGTGTTCCTGAATCATCACCGGTGGGCTCGTCGGTGGGAAGGGTCAAAGCTCATGATCTGGACACTGGCAAAAACGCTGAAGTGGAATATAGCATTCTGCCTGGTGACGGAGGATCCATGTTTGATATTTACAGCAATAAGGACACTCAAGAGGGAACTGTCATACTGAAAAAGGTAAGGGGAACATGATTGGACTTGTGATGTTATGTTTGCATAATTACAGTAGTAATATTTAGGTTTGTAGTTAGTATGAATTTAAAATGTTCTTGAGAAATATTTATTTTACCATAATTTTACCATTTAAAATGTTTACAGGTATATAAGTCAAATTATAAATACAGTGCTCTGCAAACTGTAATTGAGTACACCCCGTTTTGAAAATGAATATTTTTTATCCATTTCTCTGTAAATATAGGCAATGTATTTTGGTGCATTTAAACAAAACAGATTTATTGGTCACACTTTACAATAAGGTTCATTAGTTAATGTTACTTAATGCATTTACTAACAAGAACAAACAATGAACAATACATTTACTACAGTGTTTGTTCATGTTAGTTAACATTAGTTAATGAAAATACAGTAGTTCATTGTGAGTTCATGTTAACTCACGGTGCATTACCTAATGTTAACAAGCATGAGTTTGGATGTTAATAATGCAATAGTAAATGTTTAATTATAATTAATAAATGCTGTACAACTGTTGTTCATGATTAGTTCATGTTAGTAAATGCATTAACTAATTAACCTTATTGTAAAGTGTTACCGATTAATTAAATAGATATATTTATTTAAAAAAAAATGTTTTGGTCACCAAACATATAAAAAAATTGAAAGATAGTACAATAAAATTCAAGTAAAATATTTTTTAAAAATTACAACCTACAAAATTTCAACCAAATTTTTCTATGTTTTTGCTTTCTTAAAATTTCTCCTTTCTTAAAATTTGTATTTAATATTTTTCTAAACGTATAAATTTGGATGTACTAGTTATCATGTTTTTTTTTTTTTTTTTGTTAGATAAGCTCCAGATTTTGCATCAGTCCTGACTAATTAAATGCTTACGCACAAATATAATATTTTACAGCTTCCTATTAAAAATATGAATTTAAAAGATAGATTTGTGAGGGATGTACTCATATATGCTGCGCCCTGTATATGTATATATATCTTTTTGTTTTTTTAAGCATATTTATTTTATTTTATATGAACGTATCTGTCTTTATTCATACAGCAAATGAAATAAGTCACATCACAATTTGGTGCTGTTGACTTGAAATTTTTATCAGATGTTGGTAAGAATGAAAGTAATCCATAAATACAAAAAACTATTATTATGTGTAATTAAATTGACACAAGACAAAAAAAAAATATATATTGATCTCATAAAGAAAGAAAGATGTAAAAAGGCATGGAAAGCTCAGACAGCAGCTGAAATGTAGCTAATCAATGTAAATAAATATTATTCTAGCTGCTGCAGTCCCAAAACCACAACACAATGATCATAAACACAGCCAAAAAAATCTCTCGTTTGGTTTTTAGAGAAGAAAATAATAAGAATGGCCCAGACAATCAGCTGACTTCAATCAAATACAAAATCAGAGTTCACAGACAAGACCCACAGAACCATCAAGATTTTTAGACTCTATTGAAGTGTGGGGAAAATCACACCTGAACAATGCAATGGAGACTCAATTCTCCACAAAAGAGGTGTCTTGAAGCTGTCAAATAAAGTATTTTATACCAATTACAATGCATTTCAGTATTTGTATCCCTGTTGTTTCATTTTTATTACAAATAAAAAAAATGGTCAGATTTTTTTTTTTTTAGTTTAGAATTATTTGTATGTTTTGATTGTTTAGGTTTTACAAATAATCTGGGGCAGTTTCACATCAACAGCTCCTTTGGAACTATATTTACCAGGCAATGTTATTCATATATTAATCCAAACTTTAATTTTGAATGCAATAAATCACAATTAATCACTTGTCATGACCATTTTATCATCATTTTACCATCATATATATTTTTTACACAAAAAATTACACAAATGTTTTTTTACATTTCTTATGATACACTAGACAAATAAAACACAGCTGGATACAGTATCCAAAATACTGTATGCATTCAAAGCAGGAGATTTTTTTCCCACACAGTAAGTGAATTCTTGGAAAGTATTTGTATGTTTATGTAGCCAATATGTATCTGCTAGCTAGGACTAGGTGACATCAGATGCAAATCACAATGCCATTTGCATCCCCTTTTAACACACATGTGAATTCAAGGATGATAGCAATAACCCCATATAGCGCTCCTTCATTCGGGGGCTTGAGTGTGTGTGTTTACCCCGAGGTGAGTCATATCTTATTACTGGATGGCCATCCATAGCATCCTGAATGAATAATGCATAAACCCATAAAAGCACAAACGCTTAACCCGCACTACACAACGCCGGCTCTTGGACTTATCAATTCATTATATGCTTTGTGGTTGTCCATTTTCACATTCCTGTTTTTGCCAACAAAGAAAGAAATACTGGATGGTTCTGACCCCCAGGAGATTTGAAAAAAAAAAACATTGTATGTATAAAGGTAATAAGGCATTTTTAAATACTAATAAAATAAAATAAAAGAAAGAAAAAATTATTTTAAAAGTGACGGTTGACGTTCTGCCACAAGATGGCGACAGGTTCAGAGATCGCATAATAAGTTCTTAGGGTAGAAAAAACAGCATTTTCAGTATAAATTTCAAACTACAGCTGAACAAATCATTATAAGTCAGGTAAGTGACATTCTGGGTCTTTTGTCTTTTGTATTTTGTAGTACTGCATTTATACCACATAAACTGGTTGTGTTTGCTTTGAACTGGATTTTTCTGGGTTTAATTATTGTGAAATCCCTTTTGCACCAGAGCACTACTTGGGAATCTTTGTAGACTAACGGCATTTTATGTCGTTCAGCCTTATAATCTTAAAATGTGAGCAAAAATTACCTGTTTTGTTGTCACTTAAGTTATTACGCTAAAGAATCATTCAAACACTAACTCTAAAGTGACATTGGTGAAGTAGCAATTGTTTTCTACTGCTCTGACGTCAGCTGCAAATGTGAATGTGTGATGAAAGAAAGTAGTCCCTCATACAAAAGGGTTTTTGAGATTCTGCGTGTTTGATTTTCTTTTTCATACACACAAAATGTTGTTTAAACTCAATATCATACGAGTAGCAGTGCTATATGCTATATTATGTATCAGCACTGGGGGGCACTAAGACACTCTGTCTGAGGCCTTCATTCATTAATTTCTTTTCAACTTGGTCCCTTTATTAATCTGGGGTCGCCACAGCGAAATGAACCGCCAACTTATCCAGCATATGTGTTATGCAGTGTATGCCCTTCCAGCTGCAACCCATCACTGGGAAGCATCCATACACACACACACACACACACACACGCACACACACGCACACACGCACACACACACACGCTACACAGCAATTTAGCTTATTTAATTCAACTGTACCGCATGTATTTTGACTGTGGGGGAAACCGGAGCACCCAGAGGAAACCCACATGAACATGGAGAGAACATGCAAACTCCACACAGAAATGGCAACTGACCCAGCTGGGGCTCGAATCAGCGACCTTCTTGCTGCGAGGCGATTGTGCTTCCCACTGCGCCACCGTGCTGCCAATATACCTACAAATATTTTTCTTCGTTTTATCCTACAATTAGAACTGCTTGATTAATAGACAATTTAATCATATAATGCATCGACAAACAGACACTGTATACTATTGAAATGTTACTTTACAAATATGCATAAAAAAACCATACAAATTAAACGGTACAGAGATCATTCTAACATATAACATTTGCACATTATGTAATAATGTAAATTAAATATAAAACACCTGAAAAGCTAAATATTGCACACATTTAAATTGTAAAATAGACTGAATGACTGGCTCAACAATCTGTAGTAAGCTGCATACTATAGAACATTATTCGTTATTTGCTATGTTTTTTTTCCCATTTGTCCAGTTCCTGTTTTGCCAACAAAGAAAGAACGATCTTGTTCTGTTCTGACCTCTCAGGAGATTTGAAAACACACTGTTTTAGTTTCCTCCAAGAAAGAGCCCAACATTATTACATTTAGTGGACATGAATAAACGAATGCGCCTGTGGCCATCAGAGCATCTACCTCTCCATGAGATGTGACAAGTCAAAATCCCCTCAGACCCCCTGTTACATGGCCAATCACAGACTGAGCTAGAAGTGCTTATCTGAAACAAATGCTTCGGTCGAGTCGTGTGAAAGAGGCTGGAGAGCTCTCATCCTCCGGAGAGTAGAGAGGTTACTCTTTCATTACTCAAAGCTAGTGTAGTGTGCGGACACATGATGACAGGCCACTGCTGCTGTTCATCTCTCACTGCAGCAGATGGAGAGATTCGCATCAACAAGATGAAAGCATCTTAGGGGGCTATGGATTGCTTCATGGCATATTTTACAAATATGGTACACTGAATATGCTATGTTTATGTTGTCATTTAAAATAGTATTTATGTAGATAAACTATTATAAAAGTGACTAAAATATTAAACTAAAAGTATTAAAATAGGTTTATTCGTTTTATTTTAGTTAGTATTAATTAATGTTGTTGGTATTTATTTATTTATTTATTTATTTATTTATTTATTTATTTATTTATTGTTTGTTTGTTTGTGCTATTATAATTGTTTATTTTAATTAGTGTTATTATTATTATTATTATTATTATTACTTCTATTAATAATATTATTATTTAATTTATGTTTTATTGTTACTATAGTAGTTGTAGTAAATACAACACTTTAATTCAATATTTAGAAATAATATAAAATCGTTTATAGTGGGTGGGTGGAAGGATGGATAGATAGATAGATAGATAGATAGATAGATAGATAGATAGATAGATAGATAGATAGATAGATAGATAGATAGATAGATAGATAGATAGATAGATAGATAGATAGATAGATAGATAGATAGATAGATAGATAGATAGATAGATAGATAGATAGATAGATAGATAGATAGATAGGTAGATAGATAGATAGATAGATAGATAGATAGATAGATAGATAGATAGATAGATAGATAGATAGATAGATAGATAGATAGATAAAGGATGGATGGAT